CTATGATGTGCCACCAAATTATTATTATTATTGTTCCCTTGGGTTCCTAGTGGAACATAGGGCTTCAACTGCACGTCTCCACTTGTTTCTGTCTTCTGCTGTAGTTTTCACCTGCATCCATGTTAATCCATACTGTTTCATATCCTCTTCACACGATCTCCTCCATGTCACCCTTGCACTGACGTCCCACTCGCCGCTTCCCTTTCGGGTTCCACTCTAGCACTGGCCTGACAAGCGATGTCACCCAGCGGCCTCCTCAGCGAGTGTCCAATCCATCCCCACTTTCTCCTGCATATTTGTTGGCCGATTGGTTCTTGTTTCGTTTGTTCCCATAGTCTGTTGTTGGTGATTTTTTCCGGCCATCTGATCTTCAGTATAGAACGAAGACAGTTGTTGATAAAGATATGCAACAGGCTGTTGGAAATATTCTTTGTGACCCGCCAAGTTTCTGATCCGTATAGACGAATTGACTGACTTGACGTTTGTATTGAAAATCCGAATTTTGTTGTTGATGCAGGCTGAGTGACGAAGATTTCCAGATTGGTTTCAGGTTGATGAATGTGTTTCTCTCCTTCCCGATTCTCGATTTGACATCCTCGTCTGTTCCTCCTGTGGTTGAGACAATGCTCCCCAGATAATTGAAAGGAGTAACCTCTCTCAAATCCCTCCCGTTGATGGTGATTGGCACTGGATGTTGCTGCTGTTTTTGTTGTTGTTGGTCGATTATTTTCCGTCTTGTCTATGTTCACCTGGAGTCCTGTCTTCTCTGGCTGTTTGTTCGACCAGTTTGTCGGTTTTCGCTTGTAAGTCTTCGATTTTGTGTGACATCAAACATAAATCATCCACGCGCGAAATCCACGTCTTCTAGCCTATTCACGTCGGTCCAGGATATCCTTGTCTTCTCGTTTCCCACTGTCTGACGCATAATCCAGTCCACCACAGTTAGGAATATCATTGGTGATAATAAGCACCCTTGTCTGACTGCTGTGTTTACCCCAAATGCCTCGCTGAGTTTTCCGTTGTAGATCACTTGACATGTGCCGTTGTCGTACAGCTGTTGAATAAGGTTGATGAATCCCCATTATGGATAAGATTTTATTTTGATAATTCACACAGTGTTGTACAGTTTTATTAACTGATGACGTTTCGAGCACAAACTATTTCTCATAATCATATCAACTTGATATGATTATGAGTGGCGATAGTTTGTGTTCGTAACGTGGTCATCAGTTAATATAACTGTACAACACTGTGTGAATTATGAAAATAAAATATTATCCATAATGGAGTTATACTCTACCACAGTGCCCAAATTTTATACTTATATCAAGGTTGATGAATATTTGGGACACACCGTATTACTCGAGTACCAAATGCACTGCAAAAAATAATTGGCGAAAATTATTGACCAATGAATACATAGTGCGTATCTATCAGTTTGACTGCTCCTGCATAGCCGATTATACTAGGCGTATCATTAGGCATATTCATTATCGGATTTCTAAACATCATCATCCTGCATAGTTGAACAAAACACGATCTACTCGCAAATCTGTTTTAATAGACTTTGTAAACACTGAATATAAATAAAGTAGATGTTAACAAGGCATTTGAAGTTACCGACTATTTTCTGACTAATTTTAATTTTGCCTTATAATTTCGTCTTTTACATATATATATATATATATATATATATAAAGCCATCGAAATCTACCCGAAAAAGCCTAACTCACGTGCTCAGAAGGAGTTCGTACAGAGTCCCGCTTTCTTTCCCTTCACCATCATTAACTTGATTGTAATTGTACTCTCACTCTACCTACCTCAACTTCATTAACTTTGAAAAGGCTTTCGACAGCGTCAATCGAGAGGTGATTTGGAAACTACTTCGCTACTACAAGGTGCAGTCAACAATTATACACCTCATCCAACAGTTGTACGACAATGCTGCATGCCAAGTAATCCACAACGGGAAACTCACAGGATCCTTCGAAGTGATAACGGGAGTAAGACAAGGCTGGCTGGCTGCTTACATTCTTCAATGATTCTCCTGTTTTCGATAGACTGGAAAATGAGACAGACAGCGGCAGGCAACAAAAAAACAGGCATAAAATGGACCTATACAAAAAACTTGGAGGATCTGGACTTCGCCGATCATATATGTCTGATTTCCCACAAACTGGCAGATATGAAAGTGAAAAGCAACAAGTTGGCAGAAGAAGCATCCAGAGAAGATAGGACTTCAGGTGAACATAGAGAAAACAGAGGTGATGAAAATTCCTGGCCAGCAGCAACAGCAACAACAACAATCAGCATAAATGGGAGGAATCGGGAAGAAGCAACCTCCCTCACCTACCTACCTGGAAAGCACCGTTTCAACTACAGGAGGAACTGACGAGGATATCAAAGCTAGGATCGGGAAAGCAAAGCAAGTTTTCAATAATCTCAAGTCTATGTGGAGATCAACAGCACTCCTCAGTATGAAAAATAAGATCCGGATTTTAATCTCTAATGTGAAGTCAGAGCTACTATACGGATCAGAGAGTTGGCGCTGCGTCACGAAGGGCACCTCGAGCAAGCTACAGACGTTCAATAGCTGTCTTTGCTCAATACTCAAGATCAAATGGCCAGAAAAGATCAGCAATAGTGAGAAATCTCTGGGAGTGAACCAACCCAGTAGGAACCAATTGTGCAACAAATAGGCAGGAAGAAATAGAGGTGGATTGGCCATACTCTGAGAAAACAAACCATCAAGTGAGTGACATCACACACCAGGTCATTGCTCGAGTGGAACCCGAATGGGAAGCGGCGAGTTGATCGTCAGTGCGAGGGTGACATAGAGGAGGTCATGCGAAGAGGCGATGAAAGCATCTGGGCAGATGTGGAGTCAAGTGAAAATGTTGGCAGAAAACTGAACGCAATGGAGACGTGCGGCTGAAGCCCTATGTTCCTTTAGGAATTAATGAAAATAATAATAATAATAATTGTAATCTCATAATTTCTCCTTTTTAATTGTCGCATTAATCTCCCTCCCCTAATTTTATCTGATATTCAATTTACTATGAAATTTCTATGAGTATTTAGCACTTACAACACATGCACATTTGAACTGTAATTAATTAAGATGATAATAGTCAATAGTCAATTAATATTTATTTAATCCAAAAAAGAGTAAGATAATTGAGAATAATTAAACGGAGATCAAACACACACGCGCGCAGATAACACAGTGGAAATAGACAACTTGCTCAATCACATCCCTTAACCGCACTGTGACTGTGTTAACCGAATAGAATAAGAGAAAGACAATAACATTAGGCTGAAAAAACAAAAATAAAGGCGAAAGACACACGTAAGCACAGAACAACAACCTGCATTCAATAATAAGATCTATCAATCAACATACATTCTGGAAAGAGGATGAAGCAAAAAGACAAAATAAAGAAAGCGGAACCTCCTATCTCCCCCCTCCGTTACTGTTCCCACTGTCGACGAACACATTGAAATTAAAACCCACGTATGAGTTGCAAGTACACCCACCCGGTTACGAAACTACACGAATATTAATTCAGAAAAATAATACTAAATAGTAATGACACAGCAAAATTTGAAGGTTGATATCATCAATCAGATCGGTTATTTTTAAGATAGCTAAACAAACGATAACATTAATAATAATTAAAGATGAAATAGACAGAAGATAAAGAAGATTCACATGTGATTAAACTTTTTCTAATTTTACATGGTTTTTCGTGTATTTGTGTGTGTGTGTGAGTGTGCATGTGAAAGAGATAGAGTTTATCAGTACAGCGATGATCATATGAAGGCGTATATTATTATTATTATTATTATTATTATTATTATTATTATTATTATTATTATTATTATTATTGATAATAATATACACTGTAAGATAGAAATTTCGATTTTGAGTTTAAGTCAATCCATGAGCAACAAAGAACATGGAAAGTGGAAATGTTCACTCAAGATGCGAGAGAAACACTCCGATAAGCACACACACAAACAAACAAACAAACAAAAAGAAATCAATACCAATAGTAGAAGGGTCAACTATAAAAGAACTTTATTTAATCTGTTTTGTAGAGGATAGAAAAAGCAAACAGAATCTACCAGCATGAGAAAAATGGCAACAACAACGACAACAACAACAAGAACAACATGAATAACGGTATTACTAGGAGTCAGAGGAGCAGTAGTAGCAATAATAGTCGGAGAAGCTGGAGGATTTGTTAACCTCAGAATAAAATTGGCGATATTATCCTGTAGATGTATGTGTGCAGAGGGAGGAGGGGTCGCTTAAGTTACTCTTCTTTTTCAAAAAAGAAAACACTAAATAGATGATTACAAAATAGTAATAATAATAATAATAATAGTAAATAAAGCAAAAAATAATATTAACGATGGATAAGCTAAAAGAGATCATGACACACACGCACACATAGTGAATGAAGTGACTGACTGGGGCAACAATCAAAAGAGGTCAACCACAAAAGTCACAGACACACACACACCACACATTAATACACACAATCACTGGAAGTCAGACAAACAACACCTAGAATGTATACAATAAAATTTCATTTAATTGGAAAATCAAAGCATATACATCAAAAAAGAGTAAGAATACAGATACCTGGGAAATGCTTCGTCTATACACATGCGTACGCACACACACACACAAATTACACAATTATATGCTGGACAAAGTAGGCGCACGCGTGTGCGTGTGTGTATGTATGTATGAGGAACTTCTTGTTGTTGGATATGAGAAAGAAGACGATAAAAATGTGGTAATCACGCGAAAAATATTGTTGAATGAAGGAAGAAAAGTTCAGAAAAGAAAGAGCCCAAAAAAATACTATCAGGAGCAGTAACAGTAGTAGTACTAGTAGTAGTACTAGTGGTAACAGAATCCAGTTGACTGACTCTGCTACTGCCTGATCAGAATCAAACAAATCAACGCATATTAACTAATTAATTAATTAATTCGACTGTACAAATTGATGTGTTTTCTCAGCAAGATCAATTAATGAGGCGTAAAGATGTGAAGCTGATGAAATAGGATAATAATCTGTTGCCTTGTGCTCATAACTACTGTTGACTCCTGTTGATGCAGAAGTGTTACTACTTGTCAGAGAAGACGATGAAGAATTGGACAGTTGATCAGTAGGAGGATTGTGAGTAGGACAATTATTGTTGTTGTTGTTGTGGTTTGAATGATGTGTAGAATGTTTAGGATTGAAGGCTTCTAGAAAATAATTTGCTAGTTGAGCCAGTTCACGACTAAGTGATTTACAACTAGCTTTACGAGCTTCTGTTTCATGCAATTGTTCTAGTTGTCGAATTTCATTCGGTGAAAGAGGCGACTGAAAGGAATGGAGATTATAAAATAATTAATAATAATAATAAAGCGGTTTACAAAGAAATATTTTATCTCATCATTATGTTTAGTGGATTAAAATAATAATAGGGAATGAAAGAAAGACTCAATTAAGCCATGCTCACACCGAATAGTAACACTACGGTATTACCATCATCACTGAAAAGACCTCTAACAACTGTAAAGGAATCTGACAAATGCTCTGAAAACAAGCAGTACAGGTGTTGCAAACACTTATAGATCTCATTCAACACGTAAGTGATATCATACGCCAAGTGATTCATAACCAAAAAGTCAGTGGAGCCTTTGAAACGAAAGACAAGACCGTTTCAAGGTCCATGCAAAAGAAGATGAAAAGAGAAAATGGGTATACGTTAGAAGATCTAGACTCCAAGGATGACTCATGTCTCACGTCACACACACTCACAGACTGACAGACGAAAGCTGACAAGTTGACAGAAAAAGAAGCAAAGACAGAACTTCAATCAACAACATAGACCATAGAGGTGGTGAAGATATCCGATCGTCATCAACAACAAACACTAATCAGAATCAGTGGGGAAACTATAGAGAGGGTATTCTTGGCGGCTCACCATATCCAGATTGCTTTAATAACATGCAGCATGGATGACAATGTCAGAGGCAGCCACAATCAGGAGAGCAAGACAGGCTTTCATATTGTTCTAAAATCAGTGTGGAGATTTACAACACCCAGCACTCAGGTGGTCAGAAGAAAAAAGCAGGCAAAAAGGAACTGTTAGAGCGCGGACCAGCCAAAAATCTAGTATCTAACAAATATGCAGAAGAAAACGGAGATGGATAGGACATACGTTGAGGAGATAATTAAATGACGTCAGATATCAGGCTTTTAATTGAAACACAAATAGGAAGCAGCTAGTTGAGAGTCTGAGAATGTACTGGGTACCATTATATGTGGAGGAAAAGAAGACTTATGGACAATTGTGGAAGCAGTTGAAAGTAACAGCAGCAACAGCTTAATAACATTACTACGTTGACGCCGGTGCAAACTGGAATATAAGATGCAGGATGCCTCTTATTTCCTAGTCATGCACTGGATGCATCTGAATCCTCACAGTGAGACTACTCTACTGTAGCACCCATATTTTCAAACGCCGAAGAATTTTCCACTAGGTCATGAAGGCCACCTCTAGTATAACAAATCTTCGATAAAGAGTGCTGCATCTCAGTCTCATTAGAAACACCATCACTCTTTGGAGATGCAGGTGCACCTAGCTAACGAGTCTAGGATGGGTAGAAACGCGCGTCCTGAATTCGACTGCCAGCTATCATCAACTAAACAACGTCGTCGTATAAACCTTAAGGAAACGTCAAAACCACCACCGCCGGGAGTGGACATGTCAACAGAAACCGGGTATCTTGGTACATTTATTAAATCAACCAACAGGAAGAAGAAAATGATAATTTCAGCAAATAGCAAGTGGTAACATGCCTCATCCCACCAGTTGAATAATAAATAGTATAATATACTCCTCATAAGCATGGGAGAAATACATTTGAACTGTGAACACAATTCAGTTGAATGATGCTTAGTAAGAAGGTGAGCCAATAGAATAATAACGGCAGCACTAACCCTCTACAAGATGAAAATTTCCAAAAAAACCTCCCCTGATATGTGTATGAGCAAAAAATTGTGCTGGAAAATTCATCAATAAACATTACTGTATAACGCTGTGTGACTTAATCTAAATAAAATTCCGAAAGAATAATTACCATAAATTTTCTCCATAATGGAATTATACTCTACCACAGTGCCCAAGTTTTATCGTTTATCTGAGGTTTAGTAGAAGCTTAATGAGGTCTACTTCATTTGAAATATTACTCAACATACATCAGCATCCATCCATGCAGTTGGTAATGAGCCACACCTGTTGTGTCAGAGCTAGTGATATTACCTTGGTAGGTGGAATCGAATTCAAATCCGTGATCCCCCTGGTTCGATGTCGAGTCCTTTAGACCAACGAGGCACAGCTCCATAGAAGTTTAATAGAACCAGTTTTGGAACGTATAATGGAAATACATTCATGTTGTTGTTAATTCTCAGATGTCCACACGGCAGAAGTTGATTTATTCTTGAAGTATATGAAACAGAAGAAGCACAAGTGTTGCGTGACGGCATAGCCCAGGAGACAACTGCTTGCCGCCGTCCATATACGACCTGTTTCATGAATTGGTTTTCTGAGTTGCCCCCCTCCTAATAAGATCTTATCCCCGGCCACAAATGCACACAGTAAGGTAAGTCCGGATGTACAGTTTCCAGGGTCAATCTTTTCTAACCCCTTTATCTTCGAAGCACAGGCACGATAGCCGGTATGCTGTTACATCCTTTTTTTCCCTAGCAATATGACATTGCCCACAGACCCACAACATAGTGTAAGAAACCTACACTATATCGGTAACCGCTTTCATTCTAACCTCTATCGAAACAACTTTTCCAGCCAAGGTAGCGCTCGTCAGTTGACTGCAATATGCAAGTTTCACCACGAAGTCAAGGCAGCAGCTATCGGTAAGCCAACTGGAATTATGCCTTTTGCATGTATCATAATGATGTACGCTCTTCACATCAACCAAAAGTATTTGTTAGGCAAATTGATGTGAATCTAAATGACAAATGGTCATTTCTTTTCCAAGAAATAATCAGTGATGCATCGGGAATGAGTCAGTCGAGGGAATCGAATCACTTCTCTTGGGCTAGCTACATAGATCACCTGGTAACACATGTAGGAGTGGATTCATCGTTTGCTAATTACTCAATTCAAGGTGAGAATATATATATAATGGGGTAATCAACTCCATAGGAAAATAAATACGAGACATATAATGATTAAATTAAAAGCATAAACTATAAACATACAGTAATGGGTAGACGAAATTCTTTTATCAGTCTTGTTCGTAAATTCATAAATTGCTCCGATGATAACAGACCATCTGCTTGTATTTTTGGTGGTAAATTAACCAGAGCTAATAACGTCTTGGCTACAATCACCAAAGCCTAGTTATAAAGGCAATTAATAATAATAACAATGACGTAAGTGAGAAAATGGCATGAAAAGAAGAACATTGTTGAGAATGTTATTTCAAAATATTATACGGATAAATGATGATGTTGACACTGGGCGACCATTGACTACATATAACATTTTATCAGTATCAACAAAACCAAAAACTCAGAACTAGGCAGACACACTGATCCCAGGTTTCCCAATGGTTCTCTAACCAATGTCAGCTTATGATGAAATCCTGTAAACACGTAATTTCTCTTTAAGTGGGAAGAAACCCACAGAATCTTATCCAAACAAATCATGAAATTGATAATTGATTTTATGGGAAACAGATATTTGACTGTTGACTTTTATCAACATGGTTCATTCACTTGGAGGTAGAATTTTTAACGAGTCAAAATCATAAGGCGAACCACTGAAAATCAGATGTCTTACATGATTTCAGATTATTTCATTGTCATTTGAATGATGTGTATCTTCTGAAACTATTATTTATTTCCCATTTTGATTCCTTTCATTTTTTTTGTTTGCTATATGTGTTGTGAGCATTGTGTTCCAATTTCTTTCGAATGGTGTATTTTGAAGCTAAATCTTCACTGAACTCTCGCATAACGTTCATTCCGTCGTCTCACAATAGTGAAGATTATTCACTGATGCATATTACAATATTTTCTTGAAAATCGTTGCTACGTGTTTCGTGAAATCATTTTGCTTACTCCATGAATTCATCAGTCGTTCTCGCTTGATGTTCTACCTTGTTCACTTTGCCATCTAATCGAGGATGTTAGGCAGTTTTCGTCTAATTATAGCATGATCTAGATATGGTTGTCGAAAGGAGAAATTAGACGAAACAGCTGTCCAATTATTGAACAGGCATAAGACCAATTCGTTCAAGAGGTTTCAACCTACCTTTTCTGTCTACAGTGGAAGCTTTTCCCATACACAAGGAAAACTCTGGACTGTATATACTGAAGCGGTTTATTCAGTCCCTTTTACTATAATGGCTCTAAATTTTCCTCACACTTTTTAACTTGCATAATAACTTGATATATAATCTACATTTCAAGTATTGGTTAGTAGGGATTTCGTTGATTGGTTACAGGATTTCGTTATGAGCTGACATTGGTTAGAGAACCACTGGAAAACCTGGGAGTACTGGACAGTCATTTCGTTCTAGTTTGGCACTCTTCAGGAGTACGCACCCACACCATGGGGTTCGAACTAAGGACCATTTGGTTACAAGGCGAGTTCGTATACCATTAAGCCACTGGGACCCGATCCAATGGCCCATGAATTCTAACTTCTGCCAATTCACGATATAGCGCAACCTCTAGCCAATGTCTTCGGCGAGTATTTGTCCTCACACCCGACCTGCTGCACTCTAGTGATCACGACTTCCCACTAGAACCCCAGGTAACTACCTACCTGAATGGGGCCAGTCGCCAGTGAGCATCTCATTGATATTCAAGTATTGGCAGAAGTTAGAATTCATGAGCCATTGGATCGGGTGCCAGTGGCTTAATGGTCTACGATATTGCCTTGTAACCGGAAGGTCTTGGGTTCGAACTCCGGTGAGTGCATACTGTTGAGGAGTCCCAAAATAGGACGAAACAGCTGTCCAGTACCTCCAGGTTTTCTAATGGTTCTCTAACCAATGTCAGCTCATGATGAACTCCTTTAACTAATCTACATTTATTGGGTTGCACCTTTCCTCTTATTCTTTCTTCTCAAACTGCTAATAATATAATAATACAATTTATATAGTAATAATGGTATAATTTACATATATGCTTAATCTCCTAATCTAGTGAACAGTATTCTTGTTCTCAAGCGCGCTTGTGCCTTTTGATGGTAAACATTTCTGAGCGATACTCATCATTTGATGTTTTCAGATTGCTTAGTTTATTTTTCTTTCTCACATATGTTTCGTTACCGATTTAAATGAACAATTAATACCATATGCATTTACCTGACTTTTTAGAGCACAATATAACTGTATGGTTATGAAGTGAAATTACGAGAAGAGTCATTTCGATTGGTTCAGTGTGATACACTATGCATTCAGCAATAGATGACATAGTTAAAGTTTTACTCCATAATGATAAGAAATACATTTGAGTCACCACTATAAACTACTTATAAGCAAGAGTTGCTAAACAATTTATTTTAGAATCTTGAAGACCACGGTCAGGCGGCATACACACCCATACATATGGTTCATTTAAACGGTATCATTTTTTATTACATCACCCACTACCTCTTCAGCCAGTTAACATTATTCATTGGAGAAAGAAGTGTAACAGATGTCATCACAGCATCCGCTGATGGAACTTCATAACTTCATCCATCGACTTATCTTTTTTAAATAATATTCTTCCTCCTAAATTCGTTATTATTACTAGTCGAGTTGCTCTAGGCAAAACGGGTAATTGTTTGAAGGCAACTGTATTGAAAGACTCTGAATACCAGTAATCATCTTCAATAGTAGGATAAAGCAAAATTACGCAGAGGACAGCTTACAAGAACCTCTACATACCCTTGTGCGTAATCCAGTAACTATTTTTAGAATACTACTGACAAAAAGTTGCTTTCAATTGATGGTTAACAAGGATTTAGTTGGCAACAGACATCGGTTAGAGAACCACTGGAAAGTCTAGAAGTACTGGACAGTCAGTTCATCCAATTTTGGGGCTCTTCATCTGTACGCACCCACTGGGGTTCAAAACCAGAACCTTCTGGTTACAAGGCTAGCGAGTATCTGTCCTCACTCCCGACCTGATGTACCTCACTGGTCACGACTATTTTTTCAACTCTCTTTAATCAAAAGTTTCACTTAAAAAAACATCAAAGATAGACGCATCTACGTATCGTATTTTGGTCTAGAAAGTAACATTTCCATTGGCCGAATCGCTGACGTCAAAGGAAAGACTCCAGCAGTGTTATGTGCGACTTTACCATGGAATGTTGTACAATTTAGCATGATGTTGACATGGACCATTGAATCATTCACAATCATAAAAAAATTTTTAAATCATATGACTAGTTGACGAATGAACATAGAACTTTACTCAGACATGTATCATCTCAAGTCGCTACACTTCAAAGTAGTAGGTACATAAGAAAATCGAGATTTAAAAAAAACGAAATGATACTACAAACAAAAATATGTGTAACAAATAAAAGATAAGAGTTTATTCCAAAGAGAGTTACAACAGTAATTTTTTTACAAGTACCAAGCTATGAGTCATATGTATTACGTAAGGGCTGTTACAACTATTCAGTTACGCAGATTGATGTCATTCGAGTAAAATTCGAAACAACTGCATGAAACTCAGTGTTTACTGGATGACGAAGTTTCAAACACAATTTATTGCTCGCATTCATATCAATTATCAACTACACAATTGAGAAACTTTTATTTTATAGATTTCTTTATTCTTTACTATTTGTCGTCGTCGGGGTAGTATAATTTTCTAAATCTCTGAGTGGATAGGTGTAGAATAATTTCTGCTATATGGATTTTCAGTTGATTGATTCCAAAAATAAACCCTATATGCCGAATGAAGCTGTTTTTAGGTGAGTCAAAATGGTTTAATTTAATGCTGAAATCTAATAACCCTAGTAGGATGTATGGTCTTGTTAAACCTATAGATGATTTTAGAAATTCACCTGCTTATCAACTGTCTAAATATTTAGCTATGGGACTAAATCCTCTTGAAAGCCACTCAAAATCTAGACTGACAAATTCTTATGAACCAAAACTTAGATGGATTAGATAATTTAAAATTAGATAGTGAGGAAAAAATGGTTAGTTTTGGCATTCACGTATACCAATAAATATGGTGATAGAAGCAGTCAGAAACGAACTCATGTCTGACGAATAACTTGAACTTGAAACAAAAGTGCTACTACAGGACATAATGCTGAGAGTGCAGCTATGCCTGACTTCCACAGTTTTTAAATTCCAAGGGAAAATATACAAACAAACTGAGGGAGTTGCTATTGGATAGCAAATATCCCTGATAGTGGTAGATATATTCATGGAAAGGTTGGAAAATTTGGAGATTGAAACATTCAGACCCACCACCAAAGTATAGGGGAGGTATGTAGATGACATATTCACCATACTTAGAACACAGGACATGAATAGATTTTTCGAACACATCAACTAGAAGGTAGGGGTAATTCAATTCACTTATTAGTTGGAAAGTCAGGAAGGGGAACTTTTAATGTTGGATTGTGGCATAAAAAGGAAAGAAGGGAAATTAAACACTAGTGTTTACAGAAAACCCACAGTTTCAAACCGATATTTGGATTTCAGATCATCCTATCCTGTCAGTAAAACCAGGACTGATGGAAAGTTTCAGCAATAAGCTACAAAAAATGAATAGTATCAAGGAAGATTTTAGGTAGGAAGTGAGGCATATTAGAGAAGCTTTGAAACTTAAGAATTACCCTGATAAATCAATCAGAAGGTATGCAGGTGACTGCAAAAATAAAATTAATAATAATAATGACATACATGTCAAACATGCACAGAATGATGACACTTAGGAATTTAAATCGTCAGCAGTATTTCCAAACATAGAAGGAACCTCGGGAAACTTAGGTCGAGTTCTTAACAATGCAGGAATAAAAATGGCCTTCAAATTAACAAACTCAATTAGAAATAAGCATTATCGCTAAATGGATCCTGTGGTGCCAATTAAACAAAATAATTTAGCTTATCTAATACCCTGCAATAACTGTCAGGTCAAATACATAGGTCAAAGTAGTAGCAAGGAGTCAGTCAAGCTAGTGGAGCCCAAAACCTGCCAAACTTAGATTAGTTCAGCTATAGCACTACATGCAACCATAAACACAACCATACAATAGGAGGTGATTAGAAGACAGTTCTAAAATCTAATATAACAAGTTGGAGGGAGAGGTTGATAACTGAAGCTTTTTTACGAGTTTCACCACGGATTGATATCAGTTAGAGAAACACTGGAAACCAGGGAGTACTGGACAGCTGTTTCACCCTAGTTTGGGAGGCATCCGCAGTACGCATTACCGCGGATGATTTTGAGTCCATTCATCAGGTCTACATATATATTTATTCTTATCATCATCTCGGGAAATCAGCCTAGCAACTTCCAATGTTATTCAGACCAGAATAATTACTGACTTCTATATTGGAGCCAATATGTGACCTAATTAAACCAAACGTCTTTCTATCTCTTAGCAGCACATCGGTCTCTTATATTCATAATTGATAAGATTTTGAGACACAGTAAGAAATAAGGTGGTATATTAGTGAAACTTTAGCATTGAAGCCGATTGTAATTCCACACTGAGTTTCTCCTGATTTGGTGTGATGCACAGAAATACATTATTTATGAGCACAATTGATGTGGATATTAGGTCGCTGAAAACACTGATTGACATTGACTAAATAGATCTTTGGAATTTTAAGCACTCATTACAACTTAATTGACATACGAGACTACTGTTGTGTTATAGGTAAACCATACTGAGTCGATAAATCAAGATTCTGTTGTCCATGATACAAACTGACTGACTAACTTTCAAAGCAGGACTTTGCACAGAAGTGCAGCAGTTCAACGTACTAAACTCCATGTACCACAAAGTTACAGGAAAAATTCAAAAGAATTCGAATGAACGGGAGAAAGAAGTGAATGCATCTGCGGCAAAGACAAAGGTTTTGAGTCACACCAACAAGTCTCAAGGAATAGGTTTCCAGAGTTTTGAGGACCCCAAGCCAGGCATTCTCCACCGCCCTACATGACTCAAATCAACTGTTAAAGACTTCATCATTTGATGCCAGATTTTTGATTCGATCACTCCAAATTCATCTGACAGAGGCTAGCAGTGCTTAACGAGAAAGCAGATGGCATCATGTCATGCGTAACTTATGCCTTAACCACCTCAATCGATGTTGCTTCACAGCCTCATCAATTGACCCTCCCTTCTTACTTGACACTCTCTACTACGCGTAACTCCAATATTACTTTATTATTAAACCATTCAATAAGAGGGAAGTAAAGTAAAAAACATGTGTACGCATAAAATTAAAACAGTTATCAATACGAAACTTCAGAATAGAATGTTACAGTCTAAGGAGTAAGTTAATTCAGCAACTTCATCGAGAGCTATGGCATCGGCGAACTCAAATACTCACTGCACGCCTGCATCTAGCCACTTCTATAAACAACTCTGTTAAACAACTCTATGCAGTAAAAATCCTACAGATAATTTGGACACATTTACTACTTGAACCATTTGCTTACATACCTCAATATGCATACTGTAAAAGAAGCATTTATGTTAATAATAATAATAATAATAATAATAATATATACTTACATCAGATGCATGAGACGGAACAGTGGGTGAATTCACGCTAGAATGCAACTGAGGATAGGAAGACCAAGAAGAACAAAAAGGACTCGTGACAGAAGAATGAGGCTCACTAGAAACACCAGAAGTCCAAAATCCGGATAAAAGGCCATGCGTAGATCCACTAAGTGAATCTGATCGACCTGTTTTACCCCAACTTGATAAGACTGGGCATAAACCACGAAGAAATACTAAATTACAGACAACCACATGGCTATGATTAGGAGGATATAGGGCCTATAAAAAAAAGAAAGGAACAAAATTAATTACACAATAAGGCTGATATAAAACATTTATTCTTTGTATCAATATTCACATACTGTATCTTTAAATAGATACCAATCTATAATAGTGACTTTTATATTTCATCAGTCTACACACCTTAACAGGAACTAACGAGTCACAAGATCCGAAACCCTTTCCATACACTATATAGTGGACAGTTAAACAACACCTCTAAACCTCATTAAATAAGCGTGTCTCACTCCATCATAAATAAATCTGCAAGCAATTGTGTACCTGCATTGGTTCGAAAGCTGATCTGCAATATTTCTAAACTGCTGTCGAAATTACCATTATTTCTCCCTTAGGTCCCATGTGGAAGCGTACACCATATCTCCATTTCCTCCTGTTCCCTGCAGTCCTCTTTAGCTATCATGTCCTCTTCACATTATCTCCGTATCACCCTCAGATGCTCAACTCCTCGCCTCTCGCTTGCACACCACCCAACAATCTGTCTGCCAGCTCTGAATGTCTCATCAGCCTATTTCCAATACATCTCCAATCTGCAATTAGATGGTAATCAGGAGACGCAAATCTGTCATATAAGAATTTTAAAATCAGTTCATTTTGTGCTAAAACTTGCGCTGAAGATGTTGTCTAGGAGGATGATGAAAGCTCCGCAATTAAACCAACCAGCTCAGAGAACACAACTACTTTCAAATCACCCATCTGGGCTACAAATCTTCTCTATTATTTAAACATCTCTAATCTTTTCTGCATATTACTTCAGCAATAGATTTTTTTGTTAGTTCGTTAACAGAGCTCTTCGTTGCCTACCGTTTCCAGAGAAAGTAGCTGCTGATTAAAGTCGGCAGCCTGTTGGAATCTTATTATCTACTGTTGTTTGTTTCATCATGAATCAATATCATCTGTGAATCCAAAGAGTATTAGACTGCTCTTTCATCCTAGTTTAGGACTCCTCGACAGTGCATACTCATGATCCCACCGTGGACAGAAGCCACAACCTTTAGTATATTATTAGGCGAGCATTTTACCAATCAATCAGTCACTGGAACACAATTCATGAATTCTAACTTCTGTTGATTTGTGCTATAATACAACGCCAGCACCAGTCGTCAATGTCATCTGCGAGTATTTGTCCCCACGCCTACCTAACTTGGTGGACAACAACATAAGTTACGACTTCTCACTAGAACTTCAGGAAAATTAACCTAAGATTATTTAAATGAAGTTCAGTAATTACTATCTTTCAACAGAAAGATTTATTGGTTGCAGGATTTCTTCATGAGCTGACACCAATTAGAGAACCATTGGAAAAACAGCTGGGAGTACTGGACAGTTGTTTCGTCCTAGTTGTGAACTCTTCATCGGTACCCATCCACCAGGGTTAGAACCCAGACAAGACCCTCCGGTTACAAGGCGAGCTCGCAAACCATTGAGCCACTGGGACTCAATTCTGTCTGTCTGTTTTCGATATAGAACTTTGCACATATGTGCACCAGTTCAAGTCGCCACATTCCCTCCTTGTAGCACACAAAGCAAGAGAAGAAAGTAGGAGAAATGCATTATATAGACAGTAAACAGAGGTGTGAGACAAAGGTATAGTAATAACGAAGAACAAAACAGTTTAATTGGGAATCATACGTCACAAGGAGTGGATGCATATGCGCCATTGAGAACGATTTTGAGCCATGTCACCAATTGTTTGCAACCATTGGTTTTTACCGTCCCGAAGACCCCAACCAGGAAGTCTACACCTTCCTACGTGACTTAAACTAACTGTTGTGGATTTCATTGACTGATGCCATGTTTTCGCTTGACTGCCACTAGCTCTTTTCCAGCCTGACCCTATATCAGCTAACATTGCCCGTCGAGGAAGGCGATGACTAGGCATACGTAGCACATGTCCTAACCATCTCAGTTGAAGTAATTTCACAGCCTCGTCGACTGATTTCCCCTCCTTACCTAGCGCTAGACCGAAGCCTAACCTCAATATTGCTCACCTTAATATACCACTTCACACGGGAGATAGAACGCAGACACCTATGATCGAAGACAGCTAATCTTTTCATGTCTTCCACTCTCAATGGCCGGATTTCACAGCCATAAAGGAGGATGGAGCGGACTGATGAGCAGTACACACGCCCTTTGTTCGATAGCCGGATATTGCGTCTATGCCAGAGACGGCGTAAACTGGCATATGCGAAACTAGCCCTCTGTATCCGTACTGAGATTTCGTCAGAGATCAACCCATTGGGACTCAATTCAATGACCCATGAATTCTAGCTTCTGCCAATTCACGACAAAAACCAAGGATTTATGTTGCCCTCACAGAACTATCTCACCCAAGATTATATTCAGATACACAATGATTAAGAGCAAGACAGCATTGAACAATGTTGGTAATTCACACCATATTGGATTATGGATAGGCGCATACCGATTGCTGAAATGACTAGTTTATGATTGTAGTATCTCTTAGTATTTTTATTTTTTATTATTTTCTGTATAAAACCAATGATTATTAATTACAGTGTAATAAGACAAATAAGGAAACATGATTATATATGTATAAATATATATGTCTACCCCCCACAGGCAGAAAATTTAGAAAAACATGTTTATACCTGCAATTCAGAATAGATCCATCGCATTTGTAAAGGGAATGTACGAACATGTGAAATGAGATCATCTACAACAATTGACAGGAGATAATAATGCCATTCTTGTACACGTGTATGATGTTGTAGTGTACCTGAACACAAAAAAGCCATAGCAGTAATAAAAAATATAATAATAATAATGATAATAAAAGTTTTATTTCCTAAATAACAAACAACAAATGAATTATACATAAAACACAGTTTAGTTAGTAACTATGCTGACATTTTATAATTGCATCGGAAACTCTACCTACTATATAAAGCAGGTGGTAGGTAAATTAGTTGCCTAGACCATGATAGACAGAAGATGAGCTAGATGAAGACTATGAGCTAATGTTTGAAACTTGGATAGAATAGAACAGAGAGCGATAGAGGAATCGACAACAGGCATGACTATGTAATCATAGAACTGAATAACTCTGCCTCACCACCGCCTGAAATAACCGCTTGCACATCTGTACACTTGACAATCAGCCACATGCATTGTGTGAGCACTAATGATACTAATGATAATGGTGGCTCAAACTTCGGTAGTTTAAGTTTAGGCAGGATTTGAAGCCGTAGAAGTTAGAAGTCGAATGCACACACTGTAATGGCTCACCATTGTTCGACACAGAACTGATGGTTACATGATGAAAGGAAAATACTGTGTAGTTTGATTTCTTACATACAGTTTTATCACACTGGCCACTTTCACCTACTTATTTTATATTTACCCTATTTTCCCCCTTTAATAACTTTCTACAGATTTCGTTTCAATCACTACCACCATTCTATTCTCCCTCCGACCATATTCTACTTGACGTGGAATTACTTCAGAAACATGGTTAAGCAACAGTTTGACAGCATTTTTAAGTTTACTTATTGCATGGAGGATTTCATCATGAGCTGACATTGGTTAGAGAACCACTGGAAAACCTGTGAGTACTGGACAGCTGTTTCGTCCTAGTTTGGGATTCTTCATCAGTACGCACCCACAGGGGTTCGAAACGAGGACCTTCTGGTTACAAGGCTAGCGAGCTCGTAGACCATTAAGCAACTGGAACCTGATCCAATGCTCCTGCTGTACCTAACTGGTCACGGCTTTCCACTATAAGGTTGAAGGTGAGGCAGTAACTCATCGAAGAAGACATTGCGAAGTGGTCGCGCTATGTCATGGATTGGCAGAAGTTAGAATTCAAGGACCATTGGAATGGGTCCCAGCGGCTCAATGGTCTACGAGCTCGCCTTGTAACCAGAAGGTCCTGGGTTCGAACCCGGGTAGTTGCGTACTCCCGAAGAGTCTCAAACTAGGACGAAACAGTTGTCCAGTACTCCCAGGTTTTCCAGTGATTCTCTAACTAATGTCAGCTCATGATGAAATCCTCCATGCAATCAAACAAAATCCCTACAAAACCAATACCTGAAAAGTTTACTTATTGTCTGGTTGGTGTCATGGAGATGCTTAGAACCGATGGTTGAATACTATCACAGTGATATCGCTGAAAATTGTTTTCAATGGCATAAATGTATTGCTGCTTTGCTGTGATTATCCAGATTCATTAGCATCTCAACATTCTTCATGTTGTTATTCCTCTTTCCATTTTTATTATAGTTCCCCTTTGTATTTCTTCTCTCAATCTTTATGTGTAATTTTATGAAGTGTGCTGCGAAGCTTTTATGTAGGAAACTCAGTCAGTCATATGTTGATTAATAGATGCTTTTCCGAATTATGCATTGGGGTCTTTTACCGTTGCATCTAACTAGTCACAATTCATCTTCCCACACTTAATGTATAAGGGATGACACTAACTAGTTAACCTGACGGAAACAGATGAAGCGAAGCTCTAACGCTGAATCTATTCGGTCAAGATTCAGTCAAGTTATCAGGTCAACAAATTATATCTTCTCAAATTATGCCATAAAAAATATTTGTAAAATACCAGTACATACAAGGCTACATACTATCTCCAGTGATGTTTCTATTGGTGAGGTGGACTGGATAATGTGACAGACCCTGGTGAGTGTGAAAAGACGGTGACACACACAAGGCTGATAGAAATACCCTTCTTGTGCCATATATATATTCAAAAAGTGACGACCAAAAACCAAGAAGTTTATTCAAGAGGCGGTGAATAGTATACTTCAGATAAACATACAGAAGACTGAGGTGAAGAAGACAGCCAAACGCTAACAACAACAACAACAAACACCAATCACCACCG